ACACTACCTCTTCATCCAGGTCACTGTTGAAGATGTCGAACGTGATCAGACCCAGAATCAACGCCTTGGGAAAACTTCTAGTTACAGGCATCCAACCTGTGCTGCTGCTAACAGCTCTCTGAACTTTGCCATTCACCAGTTCTCAATTCACCTCACCCTCCACTTATCTATCCCACATTTTCTAAGTTTCATAACAAAGATGTGGGAGACAGTGTGAATCACCCTGCTGAAGTAGGTACAAAAGGTACACCACATCAACTCTTCTGCCCCCACCTACACAGCCAGTGATGACCTTACTGAAGGCTTTCAGATTGGTCGACCATGATTTCCCCTTGGTGAATCCATATTGACTACTCCTGATAACCTTCTTCTCCAATTGTTTAGAGAGAGTATCCAGAACAAATTTTTCCATCAACTTGCCATGGGTGGAGGCAAGGCTGACTAGCCTATCAACCACAACTATAAAGTTGTGGATTTTTAAATAAATTATAAGGAGGAAATTGATCTCAGTCAATTATATGTGGCACCATGGGAGGAGGAACTTGTCTTTCATAGAAAGTGCTAACTGGCATCTAGTTAAAGAAAGTCACTACAAATGAAGTGGTATTTTCAATATATGCTTAAATGTGTGAAGTGAATTTAATTGGAAAAAAAAAAAACAAAACCACAACAGATTAAAAGAAAATGTGAAAATGGAAAAGGCACTTGTAAGTACAAAGGAAGAAGTAAGAAAGTAGAATTATAAACCCTGTGTGTACAGAATTTTGACAGATTAGCATACCACTCTGTGCCAGGAAAATGTATTAAAAAGTAATCAAATAGAAATGTGTATGTGTGTTTCTGAGGAAGCAGATAAGCTCATGTAAAACAAAATGTTTACAATGTAGTACAGTGAATGTATTACTCAAGTGCAAGTCTATTTACTCAGCAGCTCTAGAAATAGAACCATTTACTGATGCAGTTTATTTTGGTTATTAACTGTTAGCTATTGAATTTGAAAATCTTTCATTTGCTACTTAAGGTAGGTTTAGGTTCTCTGTTGGATTAAATTGCTGCTGCTGCAGTGTTTTCACACCACTACATAGCCAAGCCCCACAGCACCATTCTTTCATCAGTCCTTCCCCAAAAGAACAGGGGAAGAAAATATGAGGAACGGTCAATTATTGCTCTAATCAATTTTACTACATTAGCATGTTTTAAGCTTCTTTTATGCATTTGCAAATTCTATGTGATAGTAAATGCAGAAGATATAGAAAAATATTACCTGATTAAAAAATAACACAACTAGGCATAGATTGCTAGATGAATACACACAAGTAAGTGGATATTACTATTGCAATCAGTCATAATTTATAAAAATTACAAATATAAAAATGTAAATAAGGTCAAGGAAAAGAATATACCTTTACCTAACAATTCCTTTGTGTTTTCTAGTGAAAATGTAGTTCAGGATTAATTAATGGATGGTCTGTACATTATGATTTATGCTGACAGCATGCTAGAGAGAAAATTATTTCCTTACAAGAATATGCTTATGTACCACCATTGTCCCAAGTTTCTTTAATCACCTGTGTTCTGAGGAAGAAAAAAAAAAGAATTTTATAATATGTATCACAGGTTCTGAAATAAGTTTATGTAATGTATATAAAAGTACAGTATCCTCCTTTTTCTCTCTCTCTTTTTTTTTTTTTTAATTTAATTTATTTTCAGACAGGAATCTTCAAGATTTCTCCTGTGATCCTCATCTTTTTTTGTTGTTGTTCCCTGAAAACATCTGTCTAATTACCTTCTTACTGTACATAAAATATTTCCCTGAAACTCCTCATTAAGTCTGCAGATACAATGAGACAGAATAAAGTGCATATGTTCAGAATATATATTCCCTATCTTTCTGTTTTCTCTTGCTATGTACATGTACAGTAACTTATTTGATGACAAATAAAGGCGCTTTTTTTTTTTTTTT